AAATTTGCCAATTTCCCAATTAACAATTAATTGTATTTTTTGTCCTATATGTATTTATATATATTTATATATACAGGGTGTCCGCAAAATTGGGGTTTTCCTTTACACGACGTGTAGATCTTGAAAACATAAGCAATTTTTCTTAGTACCATATACACCAATGTCTTAAGAGAACCGAGATAAAGGGCTCTGCAACATCAAAAATATCTTAATACCGTCCTGTAGCCGCGACCCGCGATATCTCAGACTGGTACCGGCTACTAGCTGAACCCGACGACAGAACTGGGTCGGGGGTCGGGGTCAGTGTGTCAGGTCAGTATGCAACCTTCAACCAACGGTAAAGGGTCACGCGTATAGAGGTAACGAACCCGTATAATCGATTGCGTTTCAAAAAAAAAAATAATAATAATGCACACTCATACACCAATAATGAACTCGTTGATATGTTGTTAATTTATGGCGAATGTGTTCAAAATGATACAGAATCGTCGCGAGTGTATGCAGATCGTTTCCCTAGACGACATCATCCAAGGCCCCGCAGATTTGTGTACCTGGTCCAGAGAGTCAGAGATACGGGCCATTTGGAGGAATTTCGAGGTGGGCACAGTGGGAGGCCTAGACAACCACGAATGGTGCAAGTTGAGGAAGAACTACTGAATCGCGTAGACGAGAATCCCTGAACAAGCACTAGAGACGTGGCTAGAGAAGTGCAAGTATCAAAAACTAAAGTGTGGCAAACGTCCAACGTGTACAAGCCCTTCAACCTGACGATTTTCCAGCCAGAGTGCGGTTTTGTGAGTGGTTGTTGCATCAACATGACAATAATCCGGACTTTTTGAAGTGCATATTGGTGACAGACGAATCTACGTTCACGCGTAATGGGGTGAATAACTTTCGATTTCAGGCAGAGACGTACTTAGCCCTTCTCGTCAACTGGAGAGTTAGTACTTTTTCCTTTATTTTTTTTTACTTGGTCGCCCTCGTTTCACTACACATTACCTTTGTTATTTGCAAGGGTAGTTGTTTCTGAAAAGGAAAACCCCAACTTTGCGGACACCCTGTATATATAGGGTGTCCCAGAAGTTGACGTCAAGCCGAAACCGGGTGATAGGCAAAGTCATAACAGCTATCAGAAAAATATTTAAAAAAATTTTATGTGTGTTTTGAAAATTATAGGTCTTTTAAAAAAATAGAGAAATTTCGCACCTTACGGCAGTCTGTAAACTCCTGTTACTACAAATATTAACTTTTTTTGGATTCTATTTTTACAATGTAATGTGGATAATGCATCTTCAAACTGGTGTCTCAACCTTACTGCCAACTTTTCTCGTTCAGGAAAAATTGCCACTTATTTCCCAACCAAGTATTCCAAAGTAAAACTTTGCTCAACTTTAACTGGCTGTATTGGCAAAAATGTACTACGAGAGTTTGGCAAGTAACCTTAAAAGTTGGCGCATTTAATAACGATTCCAAAATGGTATAACACTTAGAAGATTACTCGTTAACTTATGCACAATTTTTATTTGAAAAAAAACTGATGAAAATTTTTCAAAATTTCCTAATTAAACAGCGATTATGAAAACGCACAAGAACCCTTGAGGATAACTGTTTGCACAACAGTGGGCGTCAAAATGCTGCTGATGATGATTTACCTTTACAGCAAATGCTCAAACTGTTTTCCTTCAGCCGCAATACACGCTTGACATCTTCTTAAAAAAGATCGGGTTATTAAACGAGCGAATCCACGTTTATTAACAAACTCGGCTTGAAATACACTTTTTCTTTTACAGTTCGCCAGTAAAAAAATCTAAAGGATTCAAATCAGGTGATCGGGCTGGTCACGGTATTGTACCAGACCGCCTTATCCATCTGCCTGGAAAGTTTTGATCGAGATACTCTCTCACTGAGAGTGCATAGTGCGCTGGGCAGCCATCATGCTGAAACCACATGTCCCTGTAAATACTCAGTGGCACGTCCTCCAATAAATTTTCTAAATGATTTTGCAAAAAACCTAAATAAACCTCAGCAGTCAGTCTCTGGGAACTCAAACGGACCGATTATTTTACCATTTAAAATTCCTGTCCAATGGTTTATCTTGAAGCGATATTGAGATTTACCTTCTCTCATCAAATGTGGGTTTGCTACGTGCCACTCGTGTAAGTTATGCAGGTTCATGTACCCATCTTTCTTAAATGTGGTCTCATCCGACCATAAAATTTTTTCAAAGAACTGTGGATCTTTCCTGTGTCTTTCTAACATTGTGCGACAAAAACTCCTTCGTTTACTGTGCATCTTTACATGTTCGTGCTTGTTGATTTCGTACTGTTACTAATTTTGGATTCATGAACTGGACTGTTGATCGCTTGTGATTTGGATTTGGACTGTTTAATTGCTCTTCAAAACAACATTTGCTTTCCTTAGACTATCTTTGATAGTGTGATTGTGCAGTGCCGCTATGTCCGTGTACACCGTACAAGAATATGCTAACATGCACCTCATTTATGGGGAATGCAGATGCAACGCTAGTGCTGCAGCGAGACTTTACTGTGAGAGGTACCCGAATGCAGCTCGTCATCCAGATCATCGAGTGTTCACAAATGTGCACCGCTTACTGTTCTCTGAGGGCCAACTACCAAACCAATCACACGGTGAGGGAAGATATTTCCTTCCTTACGAAGACGTGGTGCTAGGAGCTGTCGAAGAAGACCCGAGTACTTCAGTGCGTGCAATAGAACTAAAAACAGGTGTGCCCAAAACTACATAGAATCTTGCAAAAAAACGTGCTCCATCCATACCACGTACAGCGTGTTCAAGCTCTTCTGCCCCGGGATTATGAACCCCGAGTTGCTTTTTGTCGCACAATGTTAGACAGACACAGGGAAGATCCACGGTTCTTTGAAAAAATTTTATGGTCAGATGAGACCACATTTAAGAAAGATGGGTGCATGAACCTGCATAACTTACACGAGTGACACGTAGCAAACCCACATTTGATGAGAGAAGGTAAATCTCAATATCGCTTCAAGATAAACCATTGGACAGGAATTTTAAATGGTAAAATAATCGGTCCGTTTGAGTTCCCAGAGACTTTGACTGCTGAGGTTTATTTTGGTTTTTTGCAAAATCATTTAGAAAATTTATTGGAGGACGTGCCACTGAGTATTTACAGGGACATGTGGTTTCAGCATGATGGCTGCCCAGCGCACTATGCACTCTCAGCGAGAGAGTATCTCGATCAAAACTTTCCAGGCAGATGGATAGGGCGGTCTGGTACAATACCGTGGCCAGCCCGGTCACCAGATTTGAATCCGTTAGATTTTTTTTACTGGGGAACTGTAAAAGAAAAAGTGTATTTCAAGCCGATTCAAAATGTAGCTGAGCTACGGCAAAGACTATTGGAAGCAGCTGAGTTTGTTAATAACCGTGGATTCGCTCGTTTAATAACCCGATCTTTTTTAAGAAGATGTCGAGCGTGTATTGCGGCTGAAGGGAAACAGTTTGAGCATTTGCTGTAAAGGTAAATCATCATCAGCAGCATTTTGACGCCCACTGTTGTGCAAACAGTTATCCTTAAGGGTCCTTGTGCGTTTTCATAATCGCTGTTTAATTAGGAAATTTTGAAAAATTTTCATCAGTTTTTCTTCAAATAAAAATTGTGCATAAGTTAACGGGTAATCTTCTAAGTGTTATACCATTTTGGAATCCTTATTAAATGCACCAACTTTTAAGGTTACTTGCCAAACTCTCGTAGTACATTTTTTTCCAGTACAGCCAGTTAAAGTTGAGCAAAGTTTTACTTGGAATACTTGGTTGGGAAATAAGTGGCAATTTTTCCTGAACGAGAAAAGTTGGCAGTAAGGTTGAGACACCAGTTTGAAGATGCATTATTCATCATTACATTGTAAAAATAAAATCCAAAAAAAGTTAATATTTGTAGTAACAGGAGTTGACAGACTGCCGTAGGGTGTGAAATTTCTATATTTTTTTCAAAGACCTATAATTTTCAAAACACATACATAAAATTTTTTTAAATATTTTTCTGATAGCTGTTATGACTTTGCCTATCACCCGGTTTCGGCTTGACGTCGACTTCTGGGACACCCTGATATAGATTTCTGTCAAAAGAGTTCACTACGCTTTAAGCTTTTCCAATTCCAAATAAATAATTTAATTGTATACACAGGGTGTAATGTAGACAAACTATCGAAACCTTGGTCAATTTGAAGACTAAATGTTCATATGAGCATGGGTCCGTACCGGCTTTCTTTTCGAGCTAGAGCACTATCACTAAAGAAGTACGAGTAATGTCCTCTATTGACTTACAGCTATGATAACATAATACCTACCACAAGAAGCCAACAGCTGCCTCTATTATCGGCGGAGTATGTTAGTAGTGTCTGATACGAGCTGCAAACTTGGGGGTGATTTCAAGATACGATTGATACAGGTACAGTTTATTAAAAGCATCAGCATAATGAAGAAAACGTGGTATTTCGTTCAAATTTTAATCTCTAATCATATTCTCCTGCAACATGTCAGCATAAACTTTCATATTTTCTCAACAGCCGACGCCGACGCCTGGATCACATTTCCCAAAGCAAGATTTAATCAAACTCTTGCATTTTTACATTTTACATTTTAAAAAGTGCTTAAATGGCGAGAAACTTGGGGTTGAAGCTCATTTTAACCGATGTAATAATATTCAAGACAAGCTGTCAAATTTGTGTGTGTGTTTTTTTATGATAGAAGTGGCAATCCAAATCCCATAGTTTCTCATGTTAATTTTTTTAATGGGCCTCTCAGCGACCGAACTCGCACTAAAAATTTACTCTATATTTCAGTATTTTGTAATGTGAAATGCTTGTTTGACATTATTTGAATATATTTTCGAATCTCCGTTGCCAAAGTACGTAAATGTTTTTTCCTGGGATCCCGCGGCATCTTCTAAGGTAGCCATTAGTAGGGTACTGAGATTATATTCAGTTTTTCATTTGTTTAAGGCCAATAACTTCACCGAAAGCAGTTCACCAAGCACTTCAGCTGTAGGCGTTAAAGAAGAATCTGAAGGAACGAAACAGGTAAAATGTTATAACCACAAATTAATAAATAGGTCATGTATTATATATTTTTTAGAGTGAACATGAATCGTCTGTTACCAACACGTTTGATATTAGCAACTACGTGGATAAGGTGAACAACTACGTGGAGCATTCTGTAGATATTGCGTCTTTTTTTGTCATAATTCCGAACAAATTGGTCAAGGCTCCCACGAAAAAGCCAAGTCCACGCTAACTGCGGAGATACGAATTTCAAGCAACACATTTTATCTTCGGGGAGCAAAAGCATGTATATATCGCCAGCTGTTCAAAATGAGCTCATCTCAATAGGGTCTCACATACAAAGAAAAATATTAGAGCGTGTTAAAGAAAAAAAATATTTTAGTGTGTTAGCAGACAAAACGACAGACATTTTCCGAGAAGAACAATTTTCTTCATGTGTCAGGCACTATGACGAATCTGTCAAATGTATTCAAGAAGATTTCCTCACATTTGTAACAGTTAATGATGTTAGCAGCCAAGGACTAGCAAACACATTGAAGAGTACACTAATTTCTTTGGGCTTTGATCTTGATTATCTGAGGGGTCAAGGCTACGATGGTGCTGCTGCTATGCGAGGTGCATTCAGGGGAATACAAAGCATCATTTTAGCATAGTTCCCCACTGCAATATATACACATTGCCTTTCACACTGTTTAAATTTATCATTTATGGGCACGCTTGGGTAAATCTACACATATTTTCGCAATTCGACGAAACGAAGCCAGATTTTGAAAACTGAGCTGATTATCTCGAAGAAGAAGCATCTAGCTCTACAAAAATATTGTGAAACCAGATGTGTCGAAAGGCATGAAGCCATAAGCATATTATCCGATGCTCTCGCTGAAATATACCGGGCATTCGATATAATCATAGAAAACGGAGCTGACGATTGTGGAAAAGCGTTCGCTTTCCAGCTTTTAACTTTAACTTTTTGATTACCTTAAACATATTGGAGGGAGTTTTGGCGTATACTATCAGGCTCTCAGAGTATCTGCTATCAAAAAAGATTGATTTTTTGGTTGCCTTAGAAAATGTGAGCCAAGCAACTACTGCTTTGGAAAGTATCAGATGCTGAGAAAGAATTTCAAATAATTTTCAATAAAACCGTGAAATTGGCAAATTATTGATGTCGATGTACGGCTCCCGAGACGGGTCGGCAATTAAAAATATTATGAAAACTATGTCACATAAAGTGCAGAGCAATATTATAGCATATCTATATTTATTCCATTCATTGATGACTTAATAAATTCTCTTAGGGAAGGTTTTTTGGGGCAGAGGGAGTTATAACATCCCTATATAAATTAATTCCTACAAATCAAAGAGAAGCGAGTTCAAAGATGTGATGGCTGCAATTCAAAAATAGTATAGCGTCTTAAATACCAACAGCGATTCACTGTTACTCGCTGAATTTGCACTCTGGCCAATGAAACATTTGAAAATCCAATAACAACCGCTGTTGATGCTTTACATCAATGTAATCAGGACATGTTTCCTAATATACACAGATTGCTACATATTGTAGCAACATTACTAGTTAGCACTGAATCTGCTGAGAGGAGTTTTTCGTCTCTTAAAGGATTAAAAACATATTTGAGAAACCGAACAGGAGGGATTGGATTGGCTTTAATGTCAATTTACCGTAATATTCAGATTGATACCGATCAAGTTGTTGACGATTTCGCAAAAACACCACTGGAAGTTAAAATTTAAATAATTCTTGTTATTTTCTTTATTCTCTCTGATTTTGTCCTATAATCTTATTTTATTTTTTCCCTGAGATTGTGTTTGTTTATATGTATTATATACTAACTATGTTTTTTATTTTTTCTACTAGATTGTTTTTTATTTTCTTTATAATATATAATATATATATACTAACTACAACCCCCCGCCCCCCACTTATTTTCTATATACGCCACTGGCTACGTGTTACAACCATTTCAATAAACCCGAACAAATTAAAAAATGGAAACGTACTCAAATTATTAAAAACTAACACTACATTTTGGGGACAGAAAATTTCTTTTATCACCGTATACTTGTTGCACGTGGTGAAGGTGAATGACCCGGAAATGTGACGTAGTACAGATGACAGATGTACCTCATGAAAGAATGCGTAAGTGCACAAATTATTGACAACTTACAATTCTCAAGTGTAGTGCCTACTACGAGGGGCGTTCGAAAATTTCTTACATATTCCCCAAAATGATGAATCAGTGTTATTTTGGCAAAGTGTACTTTATATGAACCATATGATGGTAATGACACATCAGAAAAGATGGGTTGTGTGAAAAATGTATTATTCCAATAATAAAAATTCCTTTATTTTCCCGAATATATATTGGAAATGTGTGGTCTGTTATTGTGAAGATGTTGGAATAACTGGAATATGTAGTCGTTCTAATTTGTCGCAGTTCAGTAAGTAAGAATACGTGATACTAAGTTGCTTAACAGCAGCCTTTTTATTCATACAGTGATCTGTAATGAAAATGTGGGGAATTTCTAAAAATAGACATTTTGAAGTGTGTTCTTCTTTGTTAAGAACCCTAAAACTGCCATAACTCATTGAATGACCTGTAGTGTTAACACGTGATGCCAAAGCACATCTCTCTGGGTGCAATCTGGCGTCGCTTTTGTGTGTTGTCCTGCCTTTTAATGATCTAGATGTTTGGCTTATGTAAACTAAATTACAGTTGTTGCAATTGATGCAATAGACAGTGCTGTTTAAGTCAAGCAATGGAACCTTATCCTTTATTTTGGAAAACACACTCTTAACTGTGAGTACTGATTTACAAGCAAAACGACAATTTAAGGAGTTATATAACCTGACCAGTTTGGGAGTTAATTCTTTGATCTATGACAAGACAACATAGCTAACTCTGGGATTAGAAGCATTCATTCATAATATTATCATTATTATTAGTTAAAGAATTATTGGGGGCTGGAAATGGCGGGGTTGGTTGTCATTCCCATTATTATTATTGGAAATTGGCAAAGGCAAAGGAAAGCTGAACAGGATTCTGTTAATCAAATACTTCGGATAACCATTATTGATGAATAAAGTTGAAAGCTTCCATAAATTGGACAGATGGAAAGTACTGTCGGAGATTTTAATTACCCTATTTTTCATTTGCTTCACCAATTTTATCTTTACTTCAAGTTCATGGTAAGACCTGAAGTTCAGGAACCTTACAGAGCAAACTGGTTTCCTATACCTGTCTACCAGTAACATATTGTCGTTAGTAGTACTGATTGACTTTCATCTTTTTTTTTTTCGATGGTGAATTGAATGTAAGGGTCATAGCTGTTGAAATCTTCAACAATACTATCAACTCCCTCAGACGGAAGGCAAACAATAATATCTTCCACATATTTTTTATGAAGATTAGGTTAAAGGGCAATATCTGAATAACAATGTTTTGTTTTGTTTATTAATGAAAGAATCCAGAGTTAGATTGCTGTGTTGGCATATCTGATCTCAATGTTTGTTTATGGATCTAATGCAAGCTTCCAGATAAGCATTACTGAAAAGTGAGACCACATCTAGACTAACAATGACCTGATCAGGTGGTATTTCAAACCAACTGAATTGTTGAAAAACATCAAAAGAGTCTTTTATATAACATTCTCTCTTGATGTGAGCTGACTTTAGAATATCCGCAATGAATGAGGTCACAGCTTGCGTGGCTGAACCAATAGATGCCACTATAGGCCGTATTGAAAGAACCGGTTTGTGTATTTTGAGAAGAACATACAATTTAGTAGAGACAGAATAATAGGTAATTAAGGGCTTCTTTTGGTCCTGATTGATTTATCTAGTATTGAATAGCCTGTTAACAATGTAATTGCAACCTTTCTACTTTAGATGTAGGATCCTTATTGATCACTCTATATGAGTGATCATTCTCAATTAAGTTATTGCAAAGACCAAATATTGTTGTCTTTTGTGACAATTAATTTGGGATGATGTTTTAGAAATTTTCTTCTTATTTTATTTAAAAGGTTATGGAAATTTCCAGGAATAACCGTTTGGATAGATGTTTTCCCTATCAAGAACTTAAGTACTTGTGTAGTGCATCGAGTGTCCTGATGCATTGAAATCTGATGCCAGAGCACATCTCTCAGGCTGAAGTCTGGAATCACTTTTAGGCGATGTTATCCTTCCTTTTAAAGATCTGCAGGTTTGGCCTATGTATATCAGATTGCAGTTATTACAATTGATGGTGTACACTGTGTGGCTAGGGTCTGTCTTTCATCTTTGAAAGAATGCAGTTGATAGTGATGACAAATTTACAAGCAATTCGGCAGTTCAACCAGTAGTTTGATTAGTGTGGGGGTTAGTTCTTTGATGTCCCACATTTTCATGAATGGCAACTGTTTGGACAAAAAGGCGACTATGAAGCAACTTAGCGTCATTTACTGATATTTGTTAAACTGCGAAAAGTTAGAATACTTGCATATCTCTCCAAATTTTGATTCTTCGCAACCATAAATGGAATCTGTTTTCTATTCTATTCTTTTCTTCCAAATTCCGTTCTTTTCCAATTAATAATAAGGGTTTCCTCACAATAAATAATTGTTAAACCAGTTTTCTAACTCATCAATAACATGGTTTGTTCAACTGCTTCTGGTTTGTCGATAAGTCTTTAGCTGGCGTTTTCTTGAAAAATTATACATTTTCAAGCTGATTTGGAATCATAGCACAATACTCACACACATTCGTTCTATTCATCGACACTGTCACCACCAGCCATTTGCAGCTGTCATGTGCTTCCTGTTACCAATGATCCTGTGACGTGCACCATCTTGTGTGCAGCAGGTGGTTTATCCACCATGTAAAAAAGAGTGTTTTTACTATTTTTAACGTATGCACCATGGATCCAGTTTTCACCAGGCTACTAAATGTTTCCTCCAACCTAACAATAACATTTAGCAACAATCTCACGTACTATTGTGAGTAATGTAGAATCAACTTTGCACTATAGTTGCTATTTTTCCTAATGTTATTGTAGCTTCTGATAATGATGGCATAGCTCATCGAAAGCTCTAGACATAAAGTAGAAAAAGTCCTCCTTGCTTTAATTTTGTAGAAGTACCCAACTATAGGCTGAATCTTTTCTCACTTAATTAGTTGTTTAGACGACAATGCCCACCGCTCACACGATATAGTATATATATATATATACAGAT